TACTCACCAAGGTAGAATGTAGAGCATTGTCTTTATAAGCTGTGTCATGCCAATTGAGCTAGATGTTCCCCGAGACCATGGTCCCAGAGCCCTCCGCCCAGCAGTTCAGTCCCTCAGGGAGTTTGGATGTGTCTATGGGGATGAGTACTAATTTTCATCACTTTTTTAAAAAACTCATTTTTTTATATTAGGGTATGTCCCCTGAATCAATAACTACAATAAACATGATCACAAGAGTAATTAAAGCTTGACTACTTACCTCTTCTTCAATAGCAAATAATTTAACAATATTTTTGTGATTGAGTTTTTTTAACACTTCAAATTCTCTCATTTGAACATCCACTGGTCGGAGGAAGCTTATATTATTAAATACTTTGATAGCAAATAAATCACCAGTTTTCTAAAATAAGAGAGAGAGAAATGTTTTATTTATATTTATTTACATATAATGTTGTAAAGATTAAAAAGGTACCATTAGAACTAGCTATAGCAATTTATTCATCTTATAGAACACGCTGCATTACTTTTAAGTATAGATAATTTATAGTAGGGTTTCTGACTTTTTTAAAGCTAAAATAAATCAACTGCTCAATATTTCTTTAAAATTGTACATTTTAAAATACAGAAAAGGCTATTTTTTTAATATTACAAAGCAAGCTTGCATTAGGATACATGAGTGGTAAAGATAGCCACTTACTCAAAAGATAAGAGCTCTAACACTACCAAACCTGAAATTACATTTTGGATAAGAAACAGAAAGTGAAACTCGTAAGGGTAACTCCAAGGCCTAACAATTTTAAATTAATCCAAACAGGAACATAGAGATTGAAAACAATATTCTATGTAGGAAATTTAAAAAATTTTTTTCTTAATGAAACTCAAAGTAATGCATTTAGGATTTTCTTTACCCCTAGCTGTGACAATGCATGTGTGTATCTGTGTTTCAGTATAAGCTGGAGAGTAACGTTAAACTAGACTTCCTAGCTGGATTACACCACTCCTTCCCTGGGTAGCTTTCTGCAACTTCACCTAGTTGACTAGGGAAGACTGTTTATTCACAGACCATCCCTAGAGGATAAAGAGATTTCCTTTTCTCTACTAATGTACTCGCAGCACTCCCACTCTTACATCCCAATGGTTTACGGAAGTAGAGCACACACAGAATGATAATGCGCAGCTGTAGTTGGTAGGGAATCTTACAGATACAAAATATATGCTTAAATTTCAGGTAAACATTACATTTTCGTATTTTCATATTAACTTTACTTTAAAACTCTCTTCTAGACCCTCCCACTTTCTTCTAAATACTCCAGTCAGCAAGTCTCTCCCCGGTCTAGATTCTTTGAGTTTAGCCTTACTTCTTCCATTAATCCAAGGCTGAACTTCCCTGGAGCTGGTGGAAAGGTCCTTTTTTCTCTTTGAGCCTGGGCTTCAAGCACCACCTACCTAAAAAGATATCATGGCTCTCTGTCTGTCAGGACCTCTGTGTTGTTCCTGCTTTGGAGCCCTCTCTATAGCTTTCCACACAGATTTACCACTTACAGCCATCATCTTCCCTCACCCCAGAATTGCATCATCTTTTTCTTAAGACTATTTAACTACCTCACAATCCTACCCCTCAAGATCACTATTTGGAAGCTAGTATCTGTTTGATTGATCCTTGGGTGGTAAAATGGTTAAGTACTCAACTACTTACTAAAAAGTCGGTGGTTTGAACGCACCCAGAGGTGGTTCTATTTCCAAAAGGTCATAGCCTTGAAAACTCTATGGAACCGTTCTACTCTGTCACATAGGGTCATCATGAGTTGGAATCAACTCAAACGTAACAATAATCTGTGTAATTACCCCATCACAAATATACATGGAAGAAGAGCCACTGAATATTTTCAGACAATATGAAAATAGAATAATGTAACTATAGCTCAATTACACTATTACACTATTACTGTATTCATTCAGTCAGTGTAGGGAGCGCTGGTGGTGGAGCGGTTAAGTGCTCAGCTACTAACCGAAAGGTTGGCAGTTTGAGCCCACCAGCCACTACGTGGGAGAAAGATGTGGCAGTCTACTTCTGTAAAGATTACAGCCTTGGAAAACTTACGGGGCAGTTCTAAATTGACTTGACAGCAATGGGTTTTAATTATACTGCCAAATCTATACTGTTATGGATTGAACTGTGTCCCCAAAATATATGTGTTGGAATTCTAACCCTTACACCTATGGATGTAATCCCATTTGAGAATAGGGTTTTCTTTGTTATGTTAATGAGGCCATATCAGTATAGAGTGTCTTAAACTCACTTTTGAGATCTAAAAAGAGCAAATTAAAAAAACCCGTTGCCATTGAGTTGGTTCCAATTCATACCAACCCTGTAGGACAAAGCAGAACTGCTCCCTAGGGTTTCCAAGGAGCGGCTGGTGTATTCAAACTGCCAGCCTTTTGGTTAGCAGCTGCAGCACTTAACCATCGCGTCATCAGGGCTTCAAAAAAAAAAGAGCAGATTAGGCAAAGAGAGTAAGCAAGGAAAAATGGGAGAAATATAGATGCCATGTGGAGATTTCCAGGGAATGCAGAGAAAAACACTAGAGAAGCTGAGACAAGGATTTTCCCCCAGGGTGGACAGAGCAAGCCTTCCCCTAGACCCAGTGCCCTGAATTCAGGCTTCTAGCCTCCTAAACCATGAGAAAATAAATTTCTAATGTTTAAAACTATGCTTGTGGTATTTCTGTTACAGCAACACTAAGAAACTAAGACATACATATACCATCCCACAGAGAGATTTTCACTGAGGGTGCGGTTATGCTGTTGTTAGGTACCACTGAGTTGGTCCCGACTCACAGCGACCCTATGTACAACAGAATGAAACACTGCCCGGCCTTGCGCCATCCTCAGTCTTTGCTATGCTTGAGCCCATTGTTGCAGCTGCTGTGTCAATCCATCTCGTCAAGGGTCTTCCTCTTTTTCGATGACCCTCCCCTTTACCAAGCATGATGTCCTTCTCCAAGGACTGGTCCCTCCTGATAACATGTCCAAATTAAGTGAGACAAAGTCTCACCATCCTCGCTTCTAAGAAGCATTTTGGCTGTACTTCTTCCAAGACAGATTTGTTTGTTCTTCTGGTAGTCCACGGTATATTCAATATTATTGAGAGTACTTATTTCAGACTCAGTCCAAAATTATGAGAATCCTCACAGAGGGACAAGCAGGGAAAATAACACAATGTTGTAATGTACTCTTGAAATCTAGGCCAGTTTTTTCCAAAGTTTTGTAGTCTAAATCATACCTGTGAGATCACTGAGATATATGTGGGTGTCATGGTTTGAATTATGTTCCTCAAAAAATGTGTATATCAATCTGGCTGGGCCATGATTCCCAGAATTGTGTGGCTGGGCTCCATTTTGTGATTGTAATTTTATGTTAAAGAGGATTAGGGTGGGATTGTAACACCACCCTTACCCAGGTCACATTCCTGATCCAATGTAAAGGGAGTTTCCCTGGGGTGTGGCCTGCAGCACCTTTTATCTCTCAAGAGGTAAAAGGAAAGGGAAGCAAGCAGAGAGCTGGGGACCTCATACCATCAAGAAAGCAGTGCTGGGAGCAGAGCGTGCCCTTTGGACTGGGGTCCCTGCGCAGAGAAGCTCCTAGTCCGGGGGAATACTGAAGAGAAGAAGGCCGACAGAGAGAAAAAGCCTTCCCCTGGAGGTGATGCCCTGAATTTGGACTTTTAGCCTACTTCAACTGTGAGGAAGTAAACTTCTCTTCATTAAAACCATCCACTTGTGGTGTTTCTGTTACAGCAGCACTACATGACTAAGATAGTGGGAATGTGCCATTTTCCTTTTACTCACCTGCCCAGTCATTTATCATTCACAGTCCCCAAGTCAAAGCATATACCAATCATATTTAGAGATCTATGTGTTAGAATCAACTTGATGGCACCCAACAACATGTGCTCATGTATAAACACGTGCAGATCAACATATCCTTCCTACAATTTTCTCTCCTTTAACTTCACCATGGTTATCACACATATATACAACCACCCACACATACTAGTAGCTAAAAGTAAATTAATGGAAGAGGTATAGGTGGTATACTCTGAATAATAAATAGTAAGCTTAAGGACCTGATCATTCTAAGCAATAGCATAAAAAGGTTTAACTAATACGGTTTAAAATCCTTAAGCTGTTATTAAGGGGAAGCAGCATGTTTGGGGTATAATCTTAAACCCTTGAAATTGATGTCACTGAGAACAAACATAGTTTTTCAAAACACATACTGTTAGGGACCAAATACTAAGCTGGCCTCAGCAATCTTATAAGCCAGTTCTTATGTCTCTCAAATCCTTAGAGATTTTCAAGCTATACTGGATAAAGTACATCTGTTTCCTTTGAAAAAGAACTTCAGGTTGTTTTAGGGTAGTCTAATTTGTCCTCATTCATTCACTTATTCCTACTTTCAACAAGCATTTTCAGACTGTCTACTATTGTCAGGTACTGTACTTACAGGGACGACACTAAGCATCTAAGTAAGAAAACAGGACCAGAATATGTGAAATATCTACCAGTGCCAGGCACTTAAATCTCTATCCTTATTGACTACATATCATCCTATCAGTATCCAAACCACAATACTTCTAATGCTATCTTGCTACTAAACCTGAAACTTTTTGCAGGCAGGGACTGCGCATTAGTTGCAGTTATATTCACCTAGCCCACCACAGTGCCTGACATGTACCCATTGCTGTTGATTTTGATTCATAGCAACCCTATAGGACAGAGAAGAACTGCTCCGTAGGGTTTCCAAGGAGCAGCTGGTGGATTCAAACCGCTGACCTTGGTTAGCGGCCATATCCCTTAGCCAGTGTGCCACCAGGGCTCTGCCTGACATATACCAGGTGCTTCTTAAAATTTACTAAATTTATTTGGTCACAGACAGACAGACCATGAGATGTGTCCTTAGTGCTAAATTCTGTGCCACCACCCGTTTTTCTCTTCTTCTTGGCACACTGTGTAAAACAAAAACAGTGTCTAGGGCAGGAATATCCAAGTCTGATCACAATTAACTCGAGCAAGGACCCCAAGCCTGTGGACAATTCTAGAATCAGAGGGCAAACAGCTAAAAGCTGTCCCCGTGGCACTTCTTGTTTATTCTCTCTGAGCCAGAGAGGCTGTTTATAGTCATATTCTCTCCCCGTGAGGAAACAGCCCCTCCCATGAATGCTTATCTCATTATCACTGACAAAATCGACTGGTAATCTCAAGGCTACAGGAAATATGAACTCCTCCTCCCTACTAAAATATCTAGAGCCCCTGTTCCTGAAAATAGGAATTTAAAAGGAGCCCTGGTGGTGCAGTGGTTAAGCAGTCAGCTGTTAACCAAAAGGTCAGCAGTTGAAATCCACCAGCTGCTCCTTGGAAACCATATGGGGCAGTTCTACTCTGTCCTATAGGGTCACTATGAATCAGAATCGACTTGATGGCAACAGGTTTTTAAACATCACTGAGCTCAAAATAAATTCATAGTGCTGAAAAATTAGCAGATGATTGTTTGCAATATAAAAGATTTTTTTTAATTCCCTTATTTTTCCAGCTCCCTTCCCAGAATAGAAACTTTAATTACCTTTCATTTATTTTAAATTATTTTAATTATCTTTAATTTCATCCTCCAATATCCAATCTGACACAGAATCCATTGGTTCTTGATGTGCCCTAGGATTCACCCTTTCATTTTATTCCCACTTCCATCACCAGGTTCTTATTACCTCATACCTGGATATAGGTTTTTACTCGGTCTCCTTGCTGATAATCTCATTTTATCCCAATCTGTCTTGTAGGATGCTGTTTTAGTGGGGCATGCACCTTTCAGAGCATATCAGAATCAACAGTGAGTTTCCATTCAAAGTACACATCTGCCTCCCCACCATCTCGCCATGCCCCTACCTCCCCTCCACCCCCAATCACTGCTACACTGAACTTGTTAGTGAGATCTGGGTTGGGGAAAAGGTCAAAGGGCACACCACTAAACTAACCCTCCTTAGTCCCTTTCAACCAACCTCCTGTTTTCCTCCACTCCCCAATACAACCTCTGCTACCATCGGGTAGACATCCTCACTGCCTCTGACACAGCTACACTCAAGCAACCACAAAATCAAGTATTCTCTTTTTGATTTTATAGGAAAATTTTTTCATTTGATTCTTATTTGACAAAATAATAATAATTACCAAGTCCCACATCTTAGTGCAAATGCGCGTCTCAGAAAAATCTGAAACTAAGTCAAAAAGTGTTGCTACAAAATGATAGAAACCTTTATTAAACAAAAATATCAAAATGTGAAGCTATTATTTCTTGACACACCCTCCATTTAGATCTATACACTTCTGAAGGCAGTGTTTCCATCTCACTAACCTTTCCCCAAGGAATTCTGTGCTCTTCGATTTACACCATGTCAAAACGGCAGTTTTAGCATCATCGAGGGATTCAAATCGTGTTCCTTTTAAATGTTCTTTGAGTTTTGAGAACAAAAAAGTCTAAAGGGCCAAGATCAGGCTGCAGGGTGGATGAGGTAAGGTTTCTTAACACCATTCTCATGTGACAGCCCTTGCTGCCCTCAAACAATGAGCAGGTGCACTGTCCTGATGGAAAAAAATTCCTTGGTACAACTTTCCTGGCCTTTCTCTCACCAATGCAATTTTCAATTTTCTGAAACCTTCTTCATAATAAGCCTTGTGATTGTTCTGTGTCCTTCAAGAAAATCTATCAAGATTAACCCTTACGAATCCCAAAAAATTGTTGCCATAACCTTCTGAGCAGTCTTCCCTCACTTGGCTCATCTCTGAGATCTTCCTCACCTTCCTTAAAATGCTTGATCCATCTAAACACTTGTTTTACATGAGGTAGCATTTCCATAAACTTGTTGCAAAGCTTCAGTGATTTCGGATATGTCTACTTAGGTTTTATTAAAAATCTGATATTAGCCCTGATCTCAAAATCATTTTTTTCCATGGCATAAAAAGTATCCCTTTTTTTGAAGGCACCCTAAGACAAGCCTATTACTGAGAGAACTTGTCTGCAGCCATCCACTGATGGCAGAGACATGTTTAAACACATTTTCTTCAGAATAAACTGTGCATGTATGAACTGGAACCCTAGTAGCAATGTTTTTTGACTTAACCTCATACATATACAGTGATAAAAAGCCTCTAAGTTTTTCTTTGTACCAACCTTATGTCTTCCACGAAAGACATTTGCAGTAGCTCCTTGGCCTAAGATATCAGATAAAAGCCACAGATGATTAGAAGTGCTCTGCATCTCTGCTTGGTTAGGTGATCCTCTTGTTACACTGAAAGAAAAGATTTGCACGTATGTCTTAAGGGAATAATACTTTCAAGAAACAAACGTTAGCTATTTTTAATCACAAGTAAGATTATATATTATTTATTGTTCAACTAAAGTGTACAAACAGTCCAATGTAAAAGTCTAAGTTACTAGAAACGCCGAAGGCTAAAATGCTGTGTGGGCTCTGAAAAAAACATTAACTGATGACATTGTTTATATTCAATTTAATTCATTTATCACAAGACTGAAAGAAATATCCATTTTTCTTCCAGTTTTGTCTTTGTCAATGAGAGTGACATTGGCTACTTATTTCCTTCAAACGTTTTGAAAGATTAATCAATGATAAGTTCTATTTTAAAGTGCTTTAAAATAAACAAAAGTAATAATGTAAAATATAACAGAAATATTAAAAACTTACTGTTTCTTTCTAGGGCAGGGCAACACTACTGAAATCAATTGTTGCCACTACACAACATTCCCATAACCTAAAATTTCTTTTGCACAGAGTCTGATAATCATGATGGAAAGGTGCAAAACATATTATTCCTGAAAGGTTACTAACTCTTTAGAAAATAATTTATGGATTATTTTTCCAACCTCCAAGTATATAAATAAGGAGCCCTGGTGGCATAATGGTTAAACTGATCGACTGCTAACCGAAAGGTCGGTGGTTTGAAACCACCAGCAGCTCTGAGGGAGAAAGATGTGGCAGTCTGCTTCTGCAGAGATTTACAGCCTTGGAAATCCTATAGGGTGGCTATGAGTCAGAATCGACTCAATGGCAGTGGGTTTTTTTAAGTATGTAAATATACGCTTATCAAGTGTGTATCACCAAGTCTTAAAAAATAAGCATCAGTCTTAACTTTGCCCTTTAATATTGAAAAGCTTGTATCTGAGCTCCATGTTGGAATAGAAGGTATGAGGTATACCAACATAACATAAACACTAGTCCTGTTACTGTTAGGTGCTGTTGGGTCAGTTCTGACTCATAGCGACCCTATGCACCACAGAACGAAACACTGCCGCGTCCTGCACCATGCTCACAATTGTTGTTATGTGTGAGCCCACTGTTGCAGCCACTGTGTCAATCCATCTCCTTGAGGGTCTTCCTCTTTTTCGCTGACCCTCTACTTTACCAAGAATGATGTCCTTCTCCAGGGACTGATTCCTTCTGACAACATGTCCAAAGCATGTAAAATGTCTTGCTCTCGCCATCCTTACTTCTAAGGAGCATTCTGGTTGTACTTCTTCCAAGACAGATGTGTTTGTTCTTTTGGCAGTCCATAGTATATTCAATATTCTCTGCCAACACCACAATTCAAAGGCATCAATTCTTCTTCAGTCTTCCTTAGTCATTGTCCAGCTTTCACATGTGCATGATGCGACTGAAAACACTATGGCCTGGGTCAGGCATACCTTAGTCCTCAAGGTGACATCTTTGCTTTTCAACACTTTAAAGGGTCTTTTGCAGCAGACTTTCCCAATGCAATGTGTCTTTTGATTTCCTGACTGCTGCTTCCATGGGTGTTGATTATGGATCCAAGTAAAATGAAATCCTTGACAACTTCAATCTTTTCTCTGTTTATCATGATGTTGCTTATGGGTCCAATTGTGAGGATTTTTGTTTTCTTTATCTTGAGGTGTAATCTGTACTGAAGGCTATGGTCTTTGATCTTCATCAGTAAGTGCTTTGAGTCCTCTTCACTTTCAGCAAGCACAGGTTTGTTAATGAGGCTTCCTCCAATCCTGATGTCCCGTTCTTCTTCATACAGTTCAACTTCTCAGATTATCTGCTCAGCACACAGACTAAGTATGGTGAAATGATACAATCCTAAAGTACACCTTTCCTGACCTTAAACCATGCAGTATCCCCTTGTTCTGTTCAAAGGACTGCCTCTTGATCTGTGTACAGGTTCCTCATGAGCACAATTAAGTGTTCTGGAATTCCCATTCTTTGCAATGTTATCCATAATTTGTTACGATCCACACAGTCGAATGCCTTCACATAGTCAATAAAACACAGGTAAACATATTTCTGGTATTCTCTGCTTTCAGCCAGGATTCTGACATCAGTAATGATATCTCTTGTTCCACGTCCTCTTCTGAATCCAGCCTGAATTTCTGGCAGTCCCGTCGACACACTGCTGCAGTTGCTTTTGAATGATCTTCAGCAAAATTTTACTTGCATATGATATTAGCGATATTGTTTGATAATTTCCACAGTCAGCTGGATCACCTTTCTGGGAAGAGGCATAAATATGGATCTCGTCCAGCTGGCTGGCCAGCTAGCTGTCTTCCAAATTTCTTGGCATAGATGAGTGAGCACTTCCAGTTCTGCATCCGTTTGCTGAAACATGTCAATTGATGCTTGTCAATTCCTGGAGACTTGTTTTTCGCCAATGCCTTCAGTGCAGCTTCGACTTCTTCCTTTAGTACCATCAGTTCTTGATCATATGCTACTTCTTGACATGGCTGAGCATCGACCAATTCTTTCTGGTATGATGACTCTGGGTATTCCTTCCAACTTCTTTTGATGCTTCCTGTGTCGTTTAATATTCTCCCCATAGAATCCTTCACTATTGCAACTCAAGGCTTGAATTTTTTCTTCAGTTCTTTCAGCTTGAGAAATGCTGAGCGTGGTCTTCCCTTTTGGTTTTCTATATCCAGCTCTTTGTATATGTCATTACAATACTTTACTTTGTCTTCTAGAGCTGCCCTTTGAAATCTTCTGTTCAGTTCTTTTACTTCATCATTTCTTCCTTTCCCTTTACCTACTCGACGTTCAAGAGCAACTTCCAGAGTATCTGCTGACATCCATTTTGGTCTTTTCTTTCTTTCCTGTCTTTTTAATGACCTCTTGCTTTCGTCATGTATGATGTCCTTGATGTCATTCCACAACTCGTCTGGTCTTTGGTCATTAGTGTTCAACGCGTCAAACCTATTCTTGAGATAGTCTCTAAATTCAGGTGAGATATACTCAAGGTCGTACTTTGGCTCTTGTGGACTTGGTCTAATTTTCTTCAGTTTCAACTTGAACTTGCATATGAGTGATTGTCTGTTCTGCAGTCAGCCCCTGGCCTTGTTCTGACTGATGATATGGAGCTTTTCCATCGTCTCTTTCCACAAATGTAGTCGATTTGATTCCTGTGTGTTCCACCTGGCGAGGTCCATGTCTATAGCCGCCATTTATGTTGGTGAAAAAAGGTATTTGTAATGAAGAAGTCATTGGTCTTGCAAAATTCTAAACACTAGTCCTAGCACCACCTTAAATCTGCTGTAATGTCAGACTGAAACAGATGTTACTATTCCTTTATAGTAAACTAGGACCAAGACAGTATGCAGGACTAGGTATCCAGTAATAAATTGATTAATGACTCCTAATATTCCCAGTAGCATTATGAACATATAGAATAGCCAGGAGTCTAAGTTTCATCAGTCTTTGTTGCAGGGTGGCGGGGGAAACCTCACTGCCATGGAGTACATTCCGACTCATCTTTCTCCCACTGAACGGCTGGCGGGTTCCAACCACCCACCTTTCAGCTAGCAGCCAAACACTTTCGACTAACAGCCAAGCATTTAATCACTGCGCCACCAATCAAATTAAATCCACTGCTGTGGCGTCGATTCCAACTCATACAGACCCTATGGGACAGAACTGCCCCATAGGGTTTCCAAGGCTGTAAATCGTTAGGAAAACCAACTGGCCACATCTTTCTACTGAGGAGGGGCTGGTGGGTTCGAATGGGTTTAATCGCCAATCTTTCAGTTAGCAGCCCAGTCCTTTAACCACTGTGCCACCAGGGTACTACTGCAACACCAAAAAAAAAAAACAAAAAACAAAACTCACTGCTGTCCAGTTGATACCGACTCACAGCACCCCACAGGACAGAGAACTGCCCTGTAAGGTCTTCAAGGAGCAGCTGGTGGATTCAAACTGCCGACCTTTTGGTTAGCTAGCCAGCTCTTAACTACTGTGCCACCAGAGATCCACCTAGGCTCCTTAAATCGTTGGTATACTAAGATATGTTTTTACAATTTTATTAGCTATCTAATTCGGATAAGGAATTTTATATATAGCAATTTATTGGACCCCCCCCCCAAAAAAAAAAAAAACCACTGCCGTCAAGTTGATTCTGACTCATAGTAACCCTATAGGACAGAGTAGAACTGTCCCATAGGGTTTCCAAGGAGCACCTTTTGGTTAGCAGTTAAGCTCTTAACCACTGTGCTACCAGGGCTCCCAAAATTTACTGAAAGTAACTAATAAAAATAAAATTTGCTTTTCACAATAAGGAATATACATTTGTCAGCTACTGCATTCCATTCCAGAAGTATAATGATAAATCTCTCAAATATCTGATGAAATATCTTCCCTAATTAATGGAACTTTGCTCTTTTAAGATAACTGTAAACGGCAAATAGTATTGCTAGGCACCTACGCGCATTTAGTGGGTAATATAAAACAAACGTATCAGCTATCCGCTCTCTCTATGCTGATATTAAACTATGCCTTCACAAGGATCGGGGAAATGTCTTTTGAAATTATCTTCTAATAGCTCCACAATAACAACATGCTGAAACATGACTCAGCACATCCACAAAGTGTTTGCTATATAAATCTTCCCAAATTTTGACAGAGTATAGGCAGGTACTCAACAAGTAAGTTACTGGTTGCGCTATCTTAAATCTACTTCCTCATATAATCCAAACCGAAAGTTACCATGTGTCCAGAAAGAGAAACAGGTTCGGTGACATAGCATATGGACAAAGGTCCAGGATTT